TAGTGATAATATTATATATCCTCAATTCTAAGACCCTATTGATTCTAGAACTTACCTTTGGTTTAATGATAGCTTTACTAAGTAAAAAGGAAAGATTTCAATAAAAGGACACGTCGATTGTAAGGCTAGTTCCGAGTTTAGAAACATTAAAATGGGATAGAGGGATACAGATCATAGAATAGGGGAAATTCAGAAACAGTAATCATTGCTAGAAACTATTAGGTGGATACCAGTGCTGGGCACTGGGCTTTATGTGTGTTAGCTTATTCATCCTCACAGCAACCCTGGGCCCTTGGGGACATCACCAAGGCCAGACTGGCTTAGAGCAGAGCGTCTGACTCCCAGGTCCAGGGTCTCAGTCACTGGGTGCTCTGCCTCCCCAATGCATTGCTCACGTTCCCATGCCAAAACCACCACTCTGCCCATTAATGCAGCCTGTCCTCAGCAAAAGTGCGATTTACAGGGGACAGACAGGACTTACCTCCTCCCAGATGGTTCCCTCTGACCTACTCTACTTCCTCCACCCCGCCTTTACCTCCTCTGAAATTCCCCCTGAGACTTTCCTGTTGGTTACAAAACAGCAGTAGGGGCAGGGCCTCTGCGAAATTGTAGCTGAAATGCATATTATCTAAAAGGGAGAATGCTCCCTCCTAGTACATTACTTAGATGAATTCCAGATTAAATAAACCACATCTACAATTTTCGTTTCTTCACTCCGTTAATTTGTCCATCTTCCTAAAATGGCTTCCCCCATTTCTATACATATAAATGAAATCAGTCAGCAAGTATTTATTGGGGTCTGCTACAGGGCACTGTGTTTACAGGCATGGGGGATAAAGTGGCGGGGAAACAAAGCTACACACACTTTCCTCAAGAATCTTAGTATCTTATGAGGGAGTTAGAAATTAAACAATAATTACATAAAGAAAGTTGTAAATATAAATTGTAATCAGTGCTCTAAAAATCAAGCATGCACTGCTTTGAGTATACGACCAGATGTCTTAACCTTGTAAGGCCGATCAGGGAAAGGCTTCTTAGGGAAAATGACATTGAGTGATGACTAGGGCTTAGCCAGGCACGGAAGGTGGAAAAGGAGAATTTAGAGGTGGGAGCAGTACCTCTGAGCTCTCTAAGAAGGAAAAGAAGTTAAACCTCAATGTTACATAGCCCCAAAGTTCATTACAAATCAGATCTTCTCCTGAAAACATACTAAAAATTTCCCTTGGGATATTTAGTCTCTCGACCTCATCCTTTCTGCAAGTTCTCCTAGCATTTTATTACTAACTCTTTCATAATAATAACAACAATACATTTAGACTTACAATGTGCCATTATCTTCTGTAAGCAGTTTACCTATTTTTCTCTCTTACCCCTCACAACAAGTCTAGGAGATAGTTACTGTTACTAGTCCCATTTTACAGATGGAGAAACTAAAGTAGAAACCATTGAATAAATTGTCCCACTTTCCACTTAATAAATGGAGCAGTTGGCCAGCATTCTTGACCAACTCCCCATACTGCCTCCTCATGAGGCTTTCTTCATCATTTTTGTATATGCCTTACCTCCTTTACCGGATGATAAACTCTGAGAGAAGGGGCCAGGGTGAATGGACTCATTTATTTATTCATTCATTCAACTAATACATATTTCACGACTACTATTTGCCAAGTACTGTATACCTCCATGCATCCACCCCAGGGGACTGAAGGTATGAATGAGTGAATGATCACAGTGCACAACTCAGAGAGCCTTGTCTGAGGAAGGAGATGGAAGGCAGAAGCTTTAATGGGGGCCAGGAGCAGCAAAGGAAGACTTCACATATGTCAGAAGAGAGCACATCTCATCATCCTTCTCCAGTAAGAAGGGCTCCTTGCACACCCAAGCACCTGACAATGTATTAAGTGACTTCCTCTGTTACCTATAGCTCTAATAGCCCTGTGGGTAGGGTTTATTATCTCAACTGCCTAAATAATGACACTGAACTTTAGAGAGCAGATGTGACCTGCCGAACCCATACAGCCAAGAAATGGCATAGCAGGCACTTACTCCCAGCCTTGTCACCAACGTCTCCTTCTGTGCAGCCTCCGAGACTTTATTATGGAGTCTTTCCTTGTTAAGTTGAAGGGGGTCAGAGGCCTAAAAAGTCTACCAATTTCCAAACTACAGTGTTTATTGATGAAATGATCAACACACACACTTGCACACACACACAGGGAAATGATTACCAAACAAGCCAGAACAGGAAGGAGCTATCTTGAGAGAAAAGAGGTAGGTGTGTGGAGCACTCAGCAAGCTTCTGAGGTGCTGGCAATGTTCTATTCCTTGCCCTGTGTGGCAATTACATGAACATTCACTTTATAATTCATTAAGATTCAAATTTGTTTGGTGCACTATTCTCTGTGTGTGTCATATGTCACCATAAAAAAGTCTTAAAAGAAAATTCTCACCATTTCTTCCAGCAAAATACACCCTGCCAAAGATTATAGAGTCAGGTGTTCCCGGTGAGTGAGGCATTTGTGTGTTGAGTTACTTTTCAGCAAGACCCAAAGGGACAAGTTCTTGAGAAGGTGGCGTAGATGAGATGAAGTCATCTTCTCCATAGCCTTGATTGTAGGCCCCAGTGATGCTCACTTTAACGGGGCTGTATCTGAGCCCAAAATGCAAGAGTAGGGCATGCATAAGCCAGGTGAAGTTTCCAGCCAGGGATCACGGAGAGAGTGGGGCTTTACTGTAAGAGATTATCTTGCTGGAAATTCACCAAGAATAGCTACAGAACACTGGGCAAAGTTACGGTCTGCAAGCAACTGCTTGTGCAAGTAACATAATTATGTTCCCTAGTTTGCTACCCCTCTAAGCCGCGGCCCTGGGGCCTGGCATGTAGGAACCTCCATTACTCCCTTCATGCAAGACAGCAGAGGTTGGGTGGCCACGAGTGTGAAAGGACCATGACTCTGCAAGAGGAGGCTCATGGGAGAAAAGATAACCCAGGCCACAGTATGCCCCACAGAGGAAATTTTGAGAACCATCGCTCAAAAAGAATGCGCCGCCTTGTCACGAGTCTCCATTTATTATTTTTTTCCTTATATTTTTGGCTGATTATTTTAGGTGCAGTGGGTCTATTTTGTTTTCCCAAAGCAATATTTTAGCTATAGAACATCTGTCACCTTGAGAGTCTGAGTGAAACTGTTCATCATTTTGTAGCAGAATTCTAATATATCAGACATCGACTCTATTAGTAAGCAGCAAAAATGTACAGAGTGCACCAAATTCAGAAGGCTATGGCTCCCCACACCACACACACAGACACACACACCTTGTTCTACCTGTGCTACACGACATATTTTATATTTGTGTCCCCAAAGGATATGTGCAACTGTTTTATTCTCTTTTTTTGGTGTGATTTTTCTCTTTTTCCATTTTAATCCATTTTTGTAATTACTGACAATGTACTCATCTAACAAGCAGCATTTCAACTATTTCTTAGAAACGGCATAGATATTGACTTTTTCTACTCCTTTGACTACCTTAAAAATCAAGTAAGTCATTGGCTGTGTGTAAATAATTCAGAGGGCTGTCACTTGATACCCATGAGAACTGGGCAAGAGATTTAACCTCTCTGAGCTTCAGTTTCCTCATCTATAAATAGGAGCAGTGATGCACGTCTTTCAGGACTGCAGAAGAACTAAATGAGATAGTGTGTGTAAAGCAGAGAGCCCAGCACATGGCCAGCAGAAGGTGGTTAATAAATGTCAGTCCTTTCCCCTTCCCCTCAGCTTACTGAGGTCTCTGGAGGATACAGCAAACAAACACAAATGACACGGTGCATCCTGTGCATTAAAAATGTGACGTTCAAAGGCATAGGTGCTTTAGTTTCTAAAACAACCATTGTACGTCCAAGAATAGCTCTGTTTATGACTGTGGGTTTTTATCATCTGGATTCACTCAACCCTCAATGCACCAGTTAGTCTTTCACATTAGGTTTAAATTTCTTTTCTCCCAAGGAAGTCTTTACCACGCATTTCAGCTCACAACAATCTTCCCCTTTCTGAAACTCCCCCTCTCCAAATGCATTCAACAATACCTTATGTGTGTGTGAGTGTGTGGGTATGTGTATATAATTTTTATATGTATATATAATTTTTCTGAATCAAATTGTAGACCTTTCAAGCAAGGGTTGTAACCAATGCCTCTTTATGTTCCCAGAGCCCAACACAGCGCCCAGCATTCGAGCAGCTACTAAACATATGCTTGTTGGTTGATTGATTGATTGATTGGTAGACAAGGACTTAACTCTTTTGTTGTAGCTGCGTAACAGCCCTGTAAAATCTAGAGTTCATACAGGGGAGCAGCACATTCCCAAGGAATCCAACCACCAATTCCCCAACAGCTTCCCAAATGGTATCCCTTAGAGAAGTTGAGGAGGGATTGCTCAGGATCTGTGATTTGAGCCAGCCTGAGATCTACTAGAAATCCAGCAGCGTAATCCACTGCGCCCCTAGCTAAGCAATGAGCAGTGTTTCTTCTCCACTGAAAACAAAAACATTTGTCCAGCTTAGCAAATGTCAGCACGGCAGCACGAAGAACAAAAAATCGAGTGCCATTTCCATGAAGCAAAGTTACTGGGCCAACAGCAGATGCATCCGTTGGCATCAGACAAGTTCCATTATGTAAGCCTCGCTAACACCAGAGACTGAGAGCACACAAAGCCTAAGCTTTCAGGCCTGGTCAAAAGGCCCATCTATTGTCTCTGGCAGACAGTGCCAGAGATAAAGTATCCTGGAGATACAATGTAAGGCAAGCTGAAAATGCATGTGCCAAGCCAAAAGGAAAGCAGGGCAGCACAATGGTAACTACTGAAGGAGCAGCTGGTCCTGGTGGCACCAGACTGTGTCTTTCAGCCCATGTCATCAACACTTGTGCATATAGTAAACATTTTCTGAAGAGGTGCCTGTCAGTTTCCATTTATTTATCAATAAGTGAATGAATAGCATCCAACTTACATGTTTTTCATGGTCTTTTTTTTTCCTTTAAATTCCGAAACCAGATGAGAAAGGACACCACATAGCAGAGTGATAACACAAGGAGAATGCAGCTCTGTCCTGGAAGGAGAGTTGACGACTGACAGATGATGCCCGTTGAGACAATGGAATGAGGCAGTTGCAGGCTATTGTTGGAACAAAAGGAGGTCAAGTCTTATTCTTTTCTCCTGCCTGGATACAAAGAGTTGGTCACAACTTTCCTTTAAAAAGAAGAAGAATGCATTCCTAAATGAGGACTTCTCAGGGCAGTGGGAGCAATCCTAGCACTCCTTAGCTACACTATCTTGGTTGGTGGACAAATATTTCTGACCTTTTATGTTGAGCTTGCGATCTTCTGGGGCTGAGCTGCCACTCTAAGAAAGTCCTTTTAAATGCAAATTAGCCACAGTCATCTCATTTTATCCATCTTCTCTTGGAACCATCAAAATGACTGAAAATATAAAGCCGTATACATCCAGAATCGTCCTTTATGCAGGTTTTTAGAGTCCAGTGGTCACTGAGTAAGTTTCCTATCAGTAAAAATGGTGTTGGAGTTCTTCTCTCCTTATCAGCTCCCTTTTCACAAAACAAAAAATAAAAATAAACAAATTGAGCCAAATCTACCTTGGTCCAGAGGGTGAACTGGAAACAATACAAAGATGCAGAGGATTAAACCAATGCACCTTCTTTGAAACCAGTGATGACATTTTCTAGGACCAATTCAGCGGGGTTTCCTTTTACAAGGCATCATAGTGCATAACAAATGGCCTGCCAGGACTTTGGGTTTAAACCTCAGCTGACATCTACTAGCCTAGTCGGTAGAGTGATTGCATTAATTCCCCAATTCTTCACCCTTTCCTGTGTCCAAGTTCTCATGCTGGTTCCAGCCCTGTGACTTTCTTTGGCCAATGAATTGTTATCAGACCTGTTGCAAGCAGAAGGTTAAAAAAGTGCTTGTTTGTTTCAAGTGCTTGCTTGTTTCAAGGTTGTGCTCTTGCCCTCAGTCATTGCCATGATAACATGCCAGGGCTAGCCCACTGGATGTTGAGAGACAAGTGGAACATAGCTGAGGCCTCCTAACCATCCCAGCCAGAGCAACTCTAATCTGCTGACAGTCAGCTGACTCCCAGGCATGTAAGTGAGCCTAGCTCAGACCGGAAGAGCTACCCAGTTGGGCCCAGCTTAAATCACCAACCTGCAGACTTTGTGAACTAAATAAATGCTTACTATTTTAAGGCACTAGGTTTTACACTTTTGTTAATGTAGCATAGTTGTGGCAAAAGATAACTAATACACTACATGATACTGGGCAAATCACTTTACAAGCTTTAGTTCTCTTTAATTTTCTTATCTGCAAAATGAGTGTACAATGACTTCACAAGGTGACTGCTGTGATTAAGTTCACAAATTTAGACAAGTTATGTGAAATTGTTTAGCACTGTCGCTGACACGTAAATGGCATATAATCAGTGAGTGTTCCTTCCATGCCTCATGTTCTGCCTTTAGATCTCTCTCATCAGAAGAAATGCCTTCCTAATGTTCTCACTATTGATCTCCATGCACCATAGAAGCTACATGAGCCATAGTTGTGCCCTGTGTGGAGTATTTCAGTGGAGTCCACAGCTTAGATTGCCAGACATTTAAACAAAAAGTCTCTTGTGATACCAAGAAGATTCCTACAGTGTGCCTGGAATTTCTCAGACCGCTTCAACGACTTAACTCACTTGAGACCACAAATCTAGTTTGAAGCCTAGAGAAATATCATTGACTTCCCACTGCCCTATAGCTGTCTCTGAAGGTTGGCACCCACTCTTCCAGGAATTGGGCAGTCTGAAAGAACCATCCCTCAAGTAATAACAGAATTTTTGAATAAACACAGAAGCTCCCTTACCTTAAGATGGGATAATTCTGGAATGCATGGTCTATACTCTCTCCCAGAGATCTCTAGAGGAATTGAATCCCAGTTTCCCACAGCAGTGAGGTCATCTCTAATGCATTCATTATTGGATGACTTTCTCTCACTGTTTTACTCCCCCACTCCCCTAACATTTCCTAGGATCACCTCCCAAATAGCTTGCATTTCAAATCCTTTCTGAGGTCTGCATCTGGAAATTCCAAACAAATAATCATGGAAACCCATTTTTGGATGGAACTCCTCTGAAAACCCAGATTCCAAGAGCCAGGTCTAGCAAGAGTATGAGTACAGAATCATTCCTGTATTTTAACAATATTTAATGAGGGTAACACGTTGAGTTCTCAAAGCCCAAGTTTCCAGGCAAGCCTTCAGAATCTCCCTTCTGGAATTTTGTAGTTATCATCTAAGTGGTCTCCCTTTTTCTAGGCTTGTCCCACTTTTCCCCACTATCCATCTCTACAGCTGCCATGTACCTCTGCTGCTTAAAGTTCTTCAATGTTTCCCCACTGTTCTCAGGATGAGCCCAATCTCCCTAGAAGAATACACAAAATCCTTCGTGATCTGTCATCCCTACCTCTCTCTCCTGCCTTATTCCTTACCACTTTCCTGCACCTTCCATCTTGGCCATACTAAATAACTTGCAATTCCTAACTCAGTATGCTGTATTATATTTCCACTCAGTTGCACAAATTATTTCCTCACTCTGAAATCCCTTCCTCCCACATAACTACTTGCTGAACCCCATTCCTCTTTCAAAATACTGATTAGGAGATGGAATGAACGGGGCAGGCATATCTACTGTCTTGCTGACTATCCCTCTAAAACATATCTCTAATCCATCCATTTCCCTCCAGGTCCACCCCAACACCCTCATCAGATCTCCCTATCTTAGTCTGTCTTATCACCATGTACCTTCCCTCATTACATTTGCCTGAGTTCTAATTTTATATTATAGTGAGTCTGACTCACATAATTATATTATATATATAATGTCTGTCTCCTTTTGCAGATGGTAAATTCCTATGAGAGCAAGGCCAAGTCTACTTTTAATCACTCTGGAGTTTCCGGTACAGAGCATGCCACACAGTAAGCATTCAATAAGTATTCATCAAAGTAATTGGTGAATCACTCCCCTCTATTTATAAAATTTTACTCTGAAATCTCTTATATTATTTCACACGTAATATTCTGGATTAGTCAGGGTTCTTCAGAGAAACAGAACCAATAGAATATGTGGAGATAGCTATAAGAGGTGATTTATTATAGGAATTGGCTTGCACAATTATGGAGGCCAAGAAGACCCGTGATCTGCTGTCTGCAAACTGGAGAACCGGGAAAGAAGGTGGTTTAATTCAGTCTGAATCCGAATGCCTAAGAATTTCAGGAACTGATGGTTTAATTCCTGGTCTGAGTCCAAAAGCCCAAGAACCAGGAGCGCTGATGTCTGAGGACAGGAGAAGGTAGATTTCTCAGCTGAAGCAGAGAGAGTGGATTCACCCTTGCACTGCCTTTTTGTTCTATTCCATCCCTCAATGGATTGGATGATGGAGGCCCATCCACATTGGTGAGGTTGATCTCCTTTACTCAGTCTACTGATTCAAATGCTAATCTCTTCTAGAGACACCCTCACAGACACACCCAGAAATAATGCTTTACAAGCTATCCAGGCATCCCTTTGCCCAGTCTAGTCGACATGAAAAATTAGCCATCATATACTCTATAGCAGCTTTTTGCTCACATGTCAATTTTCACCACATAATTATAATCAAGAGGGTCCCAGGACCTTCACACAGTGCTCTGTAAGAACTTGCCATTCGTTGAGCTCATCTGCTGAATTAAGGTTTCTGAAAGTGTAAGATTATAACCTACAGAGAAGAAGGTTCATCAGGCGGGCTTTGGAAGTTGCATAAGATTTCAATAGCAGAGATGATGGCTTGAATAAAAGGAGAAACGCAGGTAAAAGCAAGTTGCATAGGAAATAGTAAGCTGTCACTATGATTGGAAAGTGATTGGAGTGTGAGCAATGAAACAATTTAGCTGACATGTGTTGAGTGTTTATTAAATATCAGACACTATTATAAACATTTTACATGTATTAACACTTTTTAAAAATAAAGAAAGATAAATCCAGAATAATAAGTAAGGCTAAAAATGTCGAAGGCTTTGAATGTCATCTAAGGAAATATTCTTTATCAGATGACTGATGGAAATTCATGACAGTCTTCTGAGTAAACACATGACATCTCCAAGCCGTGCTGTAGGTGAATTAAGATGGTGATAGCAGACAAGAAATCTAGGCGAAAGAGATGGGGGTATAGAGACTGCATTGGTCATCTCTAAAGATATTTATGAGAGCTTTCAAAGAAAGACCCACAAGACATGCCCCCTTATTAGACGGCATGAGAAGCAAGAAAAAACAAAGAATTAGTCCATGTGCTTGATCATGAATGTTTAACCAAAGGAGGAGGAAGTATTAAGAATGAAAGGATAAGGAAGGGCTAAATAAATTATAGTAATTCCAAGTAGAAATTATTAGATGATTCAATAAGTAGCACATCTAGTTTGTGCCTAAATCAATTGAAAAACAAGGCAAATGAGTTAGACAGATTGGAGACCAAAATATGACCTTTATTATTAATGAAGTTGGTATGGGATAAAACGGTTTATATCTGAATAAGGAAAGAAGGTAGACTTTTTCCTACCAATGCTCATTAGACAGACTGCCCATGATGCAGTGCTGGTCTAGGGAGGTCTCCTCATGGAGCAGACAGAAGTGGATGCTCCCTGCCGGTAGCTGGTCCCAAAGAGCAAGAAAAGAGCAAAGAGGGTTCCCACTTTCTCCTCTAACCTCACCGATCTATCCCGTTCCTTAGTTCCTTTGCGGCAGAGTTAGTGAGTGGGTGGAGAAGGCATGTTCTTATGCTAATGGAGCTCACCCCGCATGGAAGGGCACACAAGATGTGAAGAATAAATAATCTTCCCTAACATTTTATACCAGGGATTGACAAACTATAGCCCTTGGGCCAAACCTTGCCTGCTGCCTATTTCTGTGCAGCCTCAGGTTAAGAAGAATGGTTTCCATATTTTTAAATGATTGAAAAAATCAGAAGAATGATATTTCATGACACATGAAAATTGTATGACATTCAAATTTTAGTATAAATGGAAGTTTTATTGGAACACAGGCATATCCATTCATTTGTGTATTGGCTATGGCTACTTTCATAGTAGTTAGGACAGAGACTGTAGGGACCACAAAGCCAAAAATATTTACTCTCTTATCCTTTAAAGAAAAAGTTTGTTGACCTTTGATTTACACTATTGAATTCTATGCACCCATCAAAATGGAGAGGTAGAACGATATACTGACCTGGCAGGCAGCCCACCATATATCATGGTGAACAAAAAGTAAGTTACAGAGCATTAGATGCAGTGTAAGCCCATTTTATGAAAGATGCGTATATAGCTAGATGGAAAGATACTTACACATCTACCCAACAATCCTCACCAAACTGTTAGCAGTGATGACTTGGTGAGTGGGAAGGAGTGGGAGATAGGAAAGGTTAGACGTGTGTACACTTTGCATTGCTTAAACGTTTTTGTAATGACCATCATTATTTTTGTATATAGACAAAACAAGAAAATAAACATGACAGGAACACAGCGATGGCTTATATTGCAAAGAAGTCAAATGAGAGAGAATTTAGAAACAACTTTGTGATAATCATAACATCTCAGGATTCAGAAGCACTCTGGTCCAAGAGCTCATTTGATGCTTGAATCTATTCCACAGCCTAACCTGAATTGAAATACCTCCAGTAGCAGGAAACTTGCTGCTACCCACGGCAGCCGGTTTCATCTCTGGATAATCCCAGTGGGAATAAAATTCATCCTGATACTGTATTAAAAATTTTCCTGACTGTTGCTTTTACTTGTTAATTCAAATTCTCCATTTTATAAGAAAAGTAATCTTTCCCCATCTGACAGCCCTTCATATATCTGAACACAAATTGCATGGCAAACTTCAGTCTTCTCTTCTCTAAATTAAACATCCCTCTGTCCTTCAACCATTCCGCATGTGGTGCTAAAAGGATGGAAGGAGCTGAAAAGAGTCAATGAGTCATGAAATAGCGTGGATAAGTATAAAATATATGCTTTTTTGAAAACATTAACAGTAAAGGTTAGTGATGAATTGAGATGGTAGCTTGAGAAAGCGAAAATTTCAAGAAGAAATGGATATTTTGAGGAACGGGAGAGACCTGAGCATGCATCTACCTAGATGAAGTGATACCAGTGGAAGGAGAGATGGAGAGGCAAAGGAATACGACTGAATACCCAGGCAGAGGGAAGAGAAGAGTCACTAAATAGAAGGATGAGAAAACAAGAATTTAGAGGGGAAAATAAATAAGCTAAATTGAAACAGCTCTTCCCAGGAAAACAGATGAGCATGTCATCTGCTGTGAGAGGAGGCCAGTAATGTGTGTGAAGAAGGGGTAGGAAAAAGTAGGAAGAAGTGCATTGTTGGGTTGAAAATTCCTGTTCAAGGTCTTACAGTGGCCGCTGAAGAAATAGAAGAAGGAGTCAACAGGAGTCAGAAGGAATACTGAGCTTTGGTGAGGGCTGGGTGTGGGAGAGAGGGGACAGGTCTCAAGATTTTGTGAGTTTTTCCAACAGCATTTAACAACTCGGGGTTTTCCCATCTCACCTCCTCCTTCTCCTCCTCCACTCCCACTCAGAGTGATTGCACTATTGATTGCTGGCAGGAGATCGAGAGCCCATTGCAGGAAGACAGCAGTGGCTCTTTGTCCCCAGTTACAAGGGTGTGCTCTTTTGTGTGTGTAGACCCACAAGTGTATGTCTCAGTAAAAACATTATACTCGAAAGGCTTATTAAAGAATCTTAACGTCTTCCGAAATTACCCAAGCCATAATAAAAGCCCAGGATTCAACAATGCAAACTGCTTGACCGATTCAGTCAGAAATAATAGGAACTACATTAAAAGTGCTACCTTTTCACGCACTTAACATAAAGCTTTGAATTTCCCATGGCTGGATTACTATGAATTACTTTGCAGATGCAAAATTCTGTTTGTTTTCTCTCCCACTCTAGACTGTATTCTTTGAAAATATATTTATCAAGAGCTAAAGCGACTCATTTCTCCACCAACCTTCTCTGGAGGAGCACCTAACAGCATGGAGAAATCCTTGTGTTTAAAGAGCTAGGACATTGGAAGGGCTCTTTCCATGTATAACTCAGTGATCAGCCCATTCCTTTCTGGTCGACCCCTTGGTCTATTCCCCATGCCCATCGTTGACCTTCTAAAATTCATCCAGTTCCCATCTCACTCTCCACCCCACTTACTCTCTAGGCTACTCTCATCCTGTTACCAGTGCTACGACTCCCCAGCCCCCCACCCCTCCACCCTCCTCAATAGTCATCCCCTTTGGAGAGCTGGGGTTCTGTGAAAGGAGACAGGGACTGGTCAGACTCAAGACTCTCCAGAGATTTCATGGATATGGCATAACCCACAGCTCCATAGGAACTATGATATGAGTATCATCTGCCCACGTATCACAATAGACATTCTCATCACAGTTTATAGATCTTATAATGGTGGCCTTCTCCTTTAAGTGTTTTCTTGATGGTCTTCTGCCATTTCCTTCTTAAGAACTCTTAACATGATTTGACACTCACCTCAACATCTTGCAAGTTGGGGGCATGAACAATAAGACAAAAATAACAAAGAAAGGAAATATGCATTCTTTGTTTTTTCTCCAGCAAACCCTTACTCACTTAGAGCGTTAACTACACATGCCAAGCAAAGGTACCTCCAGCTGGAGAGGAAGGAACTACAGCGAAACCAGGACGGAGTAAGGGGAACTTGCTGTTTGCAGAGGTCACGTTCTTGCTTTGAATGTGGAGAAGAGCAAAGAGAATAGCTTCTAGGGTGCTCTGCCTTCCAGCTGGGTAATCAGCACATTTCCCCCCAATTTTATCTGCACACAGCCTTTGAAGCCCTAAGCCTCTTCTTCTATGTTACGGAGACAATCAGGGTCATCTACTAAAAGCCTAAATTTCTTCAAAGGGAGGTTAGGGACCAGTTCTCTGGGCACAGGTAGGCCTGAGTTTAAACTGAAGCTTCCTCTGACACTGCCTAGCTACTGGGCAAGTTTCTTGCTCTTTCCATGTTTGTGGAAAGTTTCCTTATTATAAAAAGATAAAAATAATGCTGATTTTGCAGGATTGTTCTAAAGTTTTATTTAGATCATATATCAAAAGCGCCTGGTCTTTCGTTTAATATGAGATTAAAATGGTACATAAAACTCCTGGTTCTTGGTCTGTATTTAACCATGTGGGCCAAATTATGTGTTTAATAAATGATTATTATTATAATTTCTTTGTTTTCTTCACTAGAGATATGAAAAAGAATAAGAAAATAGCAAATTACACTTGGTAAAAGCACTTTGTCGCCATGCTACGTGTCCAAAATAATTATAATATAATTAGATCTGACAAGAGATCGTCCAGCTCTACCCAACTGAAATCATCAACAAGACAATTTGGAACGTGAGTTTACACACATCCTCCTTGACAATGAATGTCACTCTAAGGATACATTGAAATATTACCTATAATTTCAGCAAGACACTTGAAAACAAAGCAATCAGAACACTAATAGTATGACTTTTAGTGAGAGAAAAATTGAAAATCAATTTGAAATATTTTTAATTTAGTTTATTTTATCTTTATTTTGTCCGTTCTAATATCTACTTTAGTATTTTACACCATACAAAAGTTACTAGGACAAGCACGAATGCATATAATTTGCAAATAAACAGATATGCATATATTAGCAGGTCATGCTCAAGCATTTTTCACTGACAGGTTGCCCTATCAAAAGTTTGGAGAACACGATCTACACTGGCCCCAAGCGTTCGTCTTGCTCTTTGGGTTACGTCAAAGCCCTGCATAAAGGTCTATGTTTCCTAGTTCTCCATTTCTAACTGAATATGGTCTGAGCTCCTTACGTGCATTCAAGGCATAGGTTTGGTCCCAGACTTTTTATTAATTGTTAATAAAATTACACATGCAAGGCCTTTCCTAACTCGGTCCCAGCCCTCTTGTATCTCTCCAGATCCTGGCAGGAAACAGATTGGCGTGAGTAAGTTGGAGAGAGGCTGATAGAGGGCCTACCTAGGAAGATGTAGGTGGAGTGTAGAGAAACCACAGGGATAGTGACACGGAAAGAAGGAGGAGGTGTCACTCCCTCTAAAGTGATGAAGGGAGGAAGCACTTACCCTTCTTTAAAAGCAGAGAGGCTGTGTGGAGAGGGTCCTTCCAGACACCATCAGGGGCGGGATGCAGCCAGCTCAAGGCCACGCCAACCAACTCTCCTCTCTCCCTGAGCTGCTCCCTATTGGCTACCAGAGGGTAGATATTGATGTGGTTCCTACCGGTCAGCCTCCATGACACAGGATTGGATGGATGGAGAAGGATGGAGTTTGGACCTGGAGAAACCAATGGAGGATATCCAGACCAATCTCTTTCCAAATTTTTCATTCATTCATTGCTGTTTTCATTTCTTTGTTCAACAAATTTCTATCATGTGCAGTGTCAGGGTCTGACCTGGGCACCAGGGCTACAACAGGAACAAGACTGTCAGTGTCCCCACCCCCATGTCTCATGCTACACTTCAGAGTGGTGGGCAGGCAATAAATATGTTAACAGGGCAAATAATTACAGATCACAATGCTTTCCATGTGACACGTGCTGTGGTAGGTAGTAGCTGGAGACTTGCTTCAGGGAAAATGACCCTGGATGGCCTCGCTGAGGAGGTCAGACCTAAAGAGTGAGAAGTGGTCAGCCATGTGAACAGATGGGAAAGAATGTTCCAGAAAGAAGAAGCAGACAATGCAGTGACTCTAAAGTGGAATCAATCTTATGGTGATCCAGGGACAAAAGGGAGCCAGTGTGGCTGATGGTTGTAAAGCAAGAAACAGGCTTGGGAAGGTGGGCAGAGGCTGCCTCATACTAGGTTCTGCCAGCTGAGCTGAGGAACTTGGGCAAGGACATGTCATTGAAACAGGGGGGTGCCATACACTTTCTGAACTGCTCATGCTGCCCTAAGATTGCCAACTTTGTTGTGCAGTGCCTCCGTGCCTTTGCACATGCAGTTTCCCCTGCCTTAAAACTCACCCTCTCTCTTCTGACAAACAGTTACTCATCCTTTGACCCAGTTTATGCATCACTTCCCGTCTGCAGCCTTCCTTGGTCTCCTCAGGCTGTCTTAGTCACTTCCTTTTCTGTGCTCCCTTAGCACTTTGCACGTCCCTCACTGCTTTGTCACTATGTGTTTACTGATGTCTCTTTCTCAACACAGCGAGCTCTTTGAAGGCAAGGACCCTTCTGTGATTCTTTGCATCCCCACCCTACCCCTCCTCTCAGCCCCAAGCTCTTTGAGAGCTGAGAACATGTCTTAATCACGTTGGTGCCCTCACCTTACTCTTGGCCCAGCCCTTGTTCACCTGGCCCAGGCCTTGCCATGTTAGCAATACTCAAGAATGCACACTGAATGAGTGAACTCGCAGAAAATGACCTTCCACTACCTCGGGTCTTCAATAACAAGAAAAGTCTGCCCAGAAGAAGCTATCAGTCATTGAGAAATGTCTTAGAACTCCCTGAACATAGAAAGTAAGACAGCTGCTGGAATCCACTGAAACAATTAGAAAAGGTTGTTTGTTTTTTTTAACATGGCAAAGACATTTAATTAGATATTTAATAAATTATTTAAATTAAATGTTCATACAAGTCATAGTTTAAAATAAGTGAAGTTGGAGAAATAGATCTTCCACAAATTTTGCAACCTTGCTTTTTCCAAGAAGGCAAGGATAGTGTCTTCTTTTAAAAGCTAACTTTTGCATCCACACTGCCTAGCACATAGCACATGCTCATTGAATGAGCACATGAAAGAACAAGAACTAGACATCAGACATGCTCTGTCTAGACTAGACCCATATCAGTGGGGACTTTTAATCATGGTTAGTGTGCATATTGGTTATCGATGATGCATAACAAATTATCCAAAAACATAGCTGCTTCAAACAACAAACATTTGTTTATCACAGTTTTCAACAATTAGAAGTTTGATGTTTACTTAGAATTTAGAGGGTGCCTTTTATCCATATGAGGGTAATAATAGGTACCATTTATTAAGCGCTTACTATATGCCACACTATTCCAACAGCCGCATGTATTCACTCATTTAATCTTCAGAACACTCTGAGATGTTTACTCTTATTAACTTCCTCTACAGATGCAAAAATTGGGGCACAGTGAGGTTAACAAACTCCACAAAGGACACACAGCCAGTCCACAGGCAAGCCTGAGATTCAGATCCAGGTAGTCCAGCTCCAGAGCCCAAACTTTTCATCTCTAACAAACTGCCTTCAAAGAGAGAAAAATAATAATTTACACTTTAAGGATGAAGTTAACATGATGAATGCTCCTCCCGTTCACCATTGTCATTTATAGGTCACTTCATCTCTCCAAGAGAGATGATAGACATGTATAGATCTATTGTCCCACATGTATGTGACGGTGCCCATAATTGATTTTGAAATCAGCAGCCATGAGTCTGAACTTGGTAGTAAATTAGCTCAAAGGAGCCCCAACCTATAGCCCTGACAGTATTAAAACTATTGGGTCAAACTGTATTTTATTCGATGTAAAAGATAAAGGGTGCAGTCATTAACCTAAAGATTAGAGCCAGTACCACTGATCCTGTCTTAGTGTCCAGCGTAAAACATTGACTGCTCTCTCAGACCAAAAAATGACCAAAGCGGCTGGCGAACAATGCTTTCATGGGGCAAATCTCCTGTAAATGAGGTAAAGACCCTAGCACATACAGGGTCTCTATCGTCTACCCTTCCCCACCAAGGAAATAGGAAAATCTCCCTCTCTCTCTCACAGATAATTTGCACTAGAGGACACACAATGCGTATTTCTTCAATCAAACCAACCAAAGTGTGGGAGAAGCGATGGATCGTGAGCAATAAAGATTGAGTTCATGCCTCGAACTAGCTGATTCATCATGGACACGGCTCTTCACCACTTGGGTGTCAACTCCCTCATCTATAAGGGAAAAAAAATTGGATAAGAAATTTTCTAAGATCATATCTCGCTCTAAAAATTGGTAATCCTCTGAAATACAAGTCCATGTAAAATTAACAGTTCTTTTATTCAAGAGATAGATACTACTATCCTTTGTAACAATGTGTCTATTAACTGCACATGATTCAAAATCTTACAAAACAGGATATGAGAATTTATCATTTATCAAAGACCAGACACAATGTCAGTTCTGAGAAAGAGAAGCAGCATTCAAACAACCCAAGATCTGCAGAGCATTTCTCATGACTCTCTCTGTCACATGGCAGGAGAACACAATAAAAGATGACAAGAAAAATTCCCCTTCCCTCCCCTCTCCCACACAGCATTGATCATGGACTGGGACCCTCGCTCACAGGGCATGTTCAGGAGCAGCGGCCACTGTGCGCTCTGGCTGAGGAAGGCATATCCGATGTTCCCTACTGTGCTTTCGTGGGTATGTGGAGTCAGATAGGTTTTTCTTTAAACTGTCAAGAGAATGGCAGTGATGGGGATGAATTCTGTTGAATCACATGGAAGAAAAGATAATGAGTGGAACCCTGTTGACATGAGAAGTAGGAAGGGTTAGCAGGAGGCTCAGGAAGTGGGAGGATCATCCCTGACATTCCAAGTATGATGTAGTGGAAACATCATTGTACAGAGAGCTGGTCCCCCAGGAAACCAATTGTGTGATTCTGCGTAAGTCACCTTACCTCCTGTTTATAAAGTGAAGTTTGCATTAGATTAGTGGTTTTCAAACTGAGTCCTTAGAACAGAGGTGTCTAATGGAAAACCAGGTGGGTGCAGAGAGGCACAAACCCAAGTGGGTCATGCTCTTGACTCTCCACTCCATCTCCCATGTGATCATCTTTGCTTTTTATCTGTTTTGGAGTTGAATAAGAGTTTATTTTTTAAACAGTTGTGCTATTATGTGGAATAGGGTTTGAAGCCGCCTAGACTGGATGACCTCAAACATCTGCAACTCTTTCTATAGGGCCACGCAAATATTAGCAAATAAACAGGCATACACTTGCTATCTCAATTCATTTTCACACCCAGAGCAAACATTTCAGGGCCAATTAAAAGTAATGCTTTTGAATTTGACCCCTTTTTGCGCCTGTCCAGCAGCAGATTCTGCAGCTCCTTGACAAAAGTATCTTAATTATAAAAATCACCAATGTCTTCTCTTCAGTAGAAAATGAGGCTATTCATGGCTTTTGGCCAAAGAACTGATGTGACTTGTTCTACCAACTTCCTCAAATCATTATTCCCCTTCCGCTTCACCATGATAACAGTTATTATCACTATTATCCAGGGAGTCTTGGCAGAATCCGTGGATAATCATCTCTAATATCATACATCAGCTTTCCTGTCTCCACAACCTGAGCAGAGGTTAGCAGCACCCTTCCCAATGTTCCGTCAAAATGCTGCCACTCTCTGATGAATCCAAACTATTTTCAGTCTCCTTGGCAGCCCAAACTACTTCACACGGTCACCTGAATCTTCTTTGGGGAAGGAAAGCAAAAGGCCTCCATTTACTGGTAAAGAGGTAGTGGGAGGGACGATATAGCCAAATTATATTAAAATGATTAAACAGAAAGCAAAGCAGTCTTTGCGCCTAGCATAAAATGGGGGAAATTGAGAATGGTCACCACACCACCAGGTGCGGCCATATGATTTGACTCCATGGCAATTAGCCCTGCCAGACCTATGGAATTGGCCCAGTCTTCATCAGGCTGTTTTTCTATCCCTAATGGATCCCAGAACAAAACTGGATTGATACCCCAGAAGGTGTTTAGGTTGTTATCAGCCAGCTTTGGTTCAAATATCGAGGTCAAGAGGAGAAACAGTAAGAACATTGTATTCCAGCTCTTGGAATCTGTTCCAAGTTTTAATCACATAGACAGTTCCCTTCAAAGTTTAGTGCTTGTTCCATTTTGCAGTGTCTGAAATGATATATCCAGTGCCACACATGTTGAGGGATTTATCCAATTCATTTTCTATACCTGAAAGATGGAGAGGGTCAGCAAATACTTGGCCTGCCTGCTGCCACATTTCCTTCTGTGTCCAAGGTACACACTGAAAATCGATGACAGCACTCTTTTCACTCAATCCAGATGTAGCCTCGAAACAGCGCACTGAGCATCCACTAAAATTAATCGGAGTTGACAGTTAAGATGAGACTTATTCCTCACCCTGGACGTACTCTTAGTATTCATTTTACATTTATAATTTCAACCATTCAGGAGCACCCCTCAAGATCCTGATAGCTGAATAACTTGGTTTAGTCACATAGCTGAATCACTCATGATGAGGAGATCCCAAAGCTGATGAGTGAGCCGAACCTCTCCCAGCATCTCTATCTCAACACAAAAAAAAGCATTTTATGAGAAAAAAATATAGACTATGCTAGTATTTATTAACTTGGAGATTTCATAAAGACTTCTGTTATTAAAAATTCCACTATTATAACTGCTACTATTGATGTCCTTGCACACCTCCTCCCAACTTCTGAACTCATTTGTTCTCCAGTGTTACCAGCTCAATCACAACACAAATATTCACAAAGTTGTTCAGAGCAGAAACCTGGAAGCCAAGTTTGAATTTCCCTCTTAACTCCCAATACCCGACTCCATGAGAAAATCCTATAGATTCTACCTCCAAATATACCATGATCTGTCCACTAATCTTCCACTTCCATTGCCACCATCTTGGTCGAGGTCATTGTCATCTCTTCTTCCCTAGACTGCCAGTCCTGACTGATCTCTCCTCCTGCCTCTTTCCACTCCAGTCTCTATTCTGTAGCTACAGGAATCATTTTAAAAAGTGAATTTGATCATGCCATAACCCCGCCCCCAACCTCACCACCAAATACACATTCGCATGCGCTGAAAATCTTTTAGTGTTTGTCCACTGTATGCTCAAAGTGTTGGTCTGTAACAAGGTGAGCAGCTCACATCAGAACATAAATGTAAAACATCACACTGCTTCTTTCATTGAGAAAGCCTTGCTGCACGTATGTATGTGTTTGAGTGTGGATAAACTCAACTAGAAAGTGTTCTAGGTGAAGGAACTGATTTGCATCTGCACGGGGTCTTTGCACAAGCTCTTTTTCTGTCTTTACAACAGACAGGTAGCCAACAGTTTTCAGACCAGCAGACCACAAGTTGGGTAGCACAGGCTTCACAACCCCAAATAATGAGCAAATAATGAGCTTTTGTGTGCCTCTCAAACTTCATTTTGAGCTCTCCCTCCTCTGCTTCCTCTGTTCCAGCCACAATGGATTGCTTTTGGGTCCTAGACATAACCATACTGTCTTAGGGACATAACCACCTAACTACCACCTGTCTTAGAGACTTCATTCACATTTGCTTTCTCTCAGCTGGAAATACCTCGTCCCTGACTTTTTACTTACATGATGCTTCCTCAGGCCCTCCTTCTCTGACTACTTATGTGGAGCTCCCTGTTTATTCTCCAACACCGTTTGGTCTCAGTTTGACACCACTTTTTCGATCTGCAAGTACATATTTATGTGTGGATTTACCTGCCAATTGTTTGTCTCCCTTACTAGGCTGGAGGCTCCATGAGGGCAGAGCCACACTGGTCTCTCTGGTTTCACTGCTCAGAGAACCACTGCTTTTGGCCAGTATAGCCCCAAGTGTATTACAGTAGATGGAAGGTTAGAGGAACCACAGCCAGTCATGCTGACACTCCAAGATATCAACTGACTTCGAGACTTCCCAGGACATTTGCAAAATATTAATAAGAACTAGATTCTCAGACTCAGGTTTCCCAATCATAAAGCCATATTGCATCTCACGTTATAGTCGCAACAAGTCTCAGCAAGTCTCAGCCGGTTTAAGGTTAGGCAACTTACAAAGGAGAAACAGAATTACTTCATGTGGGTAAACAATTCATTACCCTTACATAGGATTTTCTCAGCCTGAATCATTGCAATGTTTTCACAGGCATTTGCATCACTGTCTCTCTGCTTAGAAACCCCATCATATAATAGCAAGAATTTATAAACAGCCAAAACTTTAGATGCCAAACACTGGGGCCCCCTCAGGGAACAAGATGACCCAGATCTCCCTTCACAGAGCTTATGGTTCAGCGAGAAAAATAGAAGTTATCCAAATAATAAACATAAAGAGTGGTAGGTGAGAAGAAAGCGCGGTGCTACAGGAGCACGTCACAAGATGCTCTAACCTTTTTTAAGGGTCAGGGAAGACTGGCACCTGAGGACATAGGAGGCAAATAATGGGGGCAGCAGATAGATTCAAGCAGCAGAGCACCTGAGAAAAGGCCAGGAAAGAAGAGTGGCCTTGGCAAATTCTAGGATCTAAAACACGTCCGGTGGGGCTGGAATGCAAAGTAAGTGGAAAGAGAAGACAAGGAATGAAGCTGGGGGCACAGCCAGGGGCCAGATCTTATAGGCATAGCGAGGAACTTGGACTTTGTCCTTTTATGCTAGAGCATGACATGCTCCATCTTCTATCCCCTAACCCCTTACCTACAAATTACTTACAACAATACTGGGCACGTAGCACTTGCTAAATATATGTCAAGGACTATTAGAGGTTCGTTAGTGAATACAAAGCAATGAAGGAAAAAAACAGACAATATTAACATTGGGGAAGAAAGCTTGTAGAAGAAAGAAAATGTAATCAGTACCCTATGTGGCTCGGCTATGAAGAATATTTACATGTATGGGTATGTTATATAAAAACATTAAACACTAAAAAAGATTCTACTAGATACGCAATGTAACTATATTTGGAAGATTTATAGGCAGTCAATGGATAAGATCCAAAATTGGAAAATCCAGAACTATCTCTAGCAACACATTATTTAGAAATATAAAAGTAAATACCAGAATGAAGAGTTGAAAGATTTGTAAGCAGTTACTTCGGAGGTAAGGGACTAGAAAAGGGAAATGGATGGACTAAGATGCGGCTGAGCCCTGTTTTTATTTTATTATAATTCTTGCATATACTTTGTTATTTTTGTGATTATGAGCTGTATATGTTTTTGGTTTTTTTGACAGCAGTATAAATTAAACACACACGCGCCCCACTGGCAAATATTAGTTTAAAAGGAAAGGAATAGAGGGAGGCAGTCCTGACACCCCCTACTGGCCATCTCACAGGTGGTTCTACTGATGAGCCATTCCCCTCTGTCCAGACTTGTCTGCGTCCCTAAACTAATCATGTCGGTGGCCCGAAAACAGCAGCCTCTCCCCTTCTGTTTGTTGGAGGTGTCATGAGTTGGGCTCCCAAGCAACCTTTGGATTTGCAATGCTAGAGACAACTCCTAGTTATCTGATTAGATTCCCAGTTGGCTCCATCTAATGGATCCTGAGCACAGACCAAGGCCCCAGTGAAGCAGATCTGTGGGGAGTTCCAGAGCTCTCAGGATCTTCAGAGGAAGGCAGCACAAGAGGGAAGTGTGCACATCAATACAATCAAGCAAGATCCAGAGATAGAGCCCCCCCTGTCTGATTTGGTTGACACATTCACTTATGGGAAGTAGATGGACTCACAGGATGCTGAAGTGTTACAGCAGAGGTCCTCAGGTGTTTCACATCTCATGACTTCATGCGTCACTGGCAGGGGATGTGTGATACTTAACAGGGACAGAACTCAAACTCTCTTTTGCTACCTATGAAGGAAAAAATAATGAGAGAAAGATGGTAATTGAAAACAGTCTACTCAAGAGAGAGAGGAAGCTGTTTTTAAGTATTTTCAAGGACTTTAGAAGGACTCCTTGTACTGACAATGTTAATTAAAAATCTTTCTTATTTATTAAAGCAATTCCCCTAATTTTCTCTACCAGACAAAATTTTATTAGGCTACTTCCAGTGACTAGATATACTTGAAAGTAAAACAAAATAGTGTTAGAACGTTTTATAGATGAGAATTTTTACTTCTTCAGAATAAGTTTTATGTGTAATGAATTTTTAAAGTGAAGTGTTATATATCCTAACACAATTTCCCCCACTTAAAGTCCATGAGGATATTTATCTGTTCGGAGTGTAGGATTTTTTTAACTAAAAACTGGATATTTTCCCAAAACAAATGCCAACTGTTTCTTCATTATATCTTAGAGAATAACTTCCATGTAAGTAAATGTTCACGTTAAACGTTAAGTACAAACAGCATAAGAACTAAAAATAGCTCAAATCTTCTAGCTACATTTTGTCAACAGCCTCGCTCTAGCCAAGTTCCCCATTAATTGCACAATCTATATTTTGGGAAAGAAAGAACTTAATTGTTTCCAAACAAAATTTCAGGCCTGCATACATTTGCCTTCCCCTGGTTGGTTTCAGTTAAGTGAATTAATCTTTTAAAAGGGAGAATGTAGAAAGGGGGACTTCTCCAAAAAAAAATCATTTACCATATGTATTTCATCAAGAGCTTTAATTATAAAGTTGCAATGGATAATTTTTGTTACAGTCATCTCTGGGGAGATCTCAGTTTTTGAGAGCGTTGCTTTCATCTTTTGCCTTACACTTTGTGCAGACAAATAACAAACAGCAAATGCCAACTTGAAGAAAAGATATTTAAAGCTATAAGGGCATGAAAGCAAAGTCAAAAATTTTTTTCTAATATACTTCAAGAAATATTACATAAAAATTTCTATCAGCTCATTCAATTGCCTCTTCTGAAGTAAAAAAGAAAATCACAAGTAACTCATTTGGGGCACCAAGTAAACTTTTTTGGGCATTGGTGAGTGTTACTTTGTAGACTTTTCTGGTGCCCTTTCAAAACGCATCCAATTTTTAATATTCAAAGCATAGTATATGGATATACAGGAAATCTGCAAAAGTATAAGATACAGTTCTTACTCCCAACCTGATTAAATCCTTTTGGGAAAAACAATCTTCCTGTGGGTACATTTTTGTCCCAACTGAACTGAACTTGTCTAGATTAATAGATCACCTACAATTCAAAGGAATTTCAACATTGGTCATGTGAGGAGTTAAAGGCATAATAAATCGAGGTAGCAGAGAGAGAAGAATAGTAATGGGGATAGATCCACACTAGATCCTGTCATTTTACCAGTAAAATGTCCTTAAAATAGGATACTTAGGGGCCGGCCCGGTGGCACAGCAGTTAATTTCGCACATCCTGCTTCAGCGGCCCCAGGTTCACCAGTTTGGATCCTGGGTTGGGACATGGCATCACTTGGCAAGCCATGCTGTGGCAGGCGTCCCACATATAACGTAGAGGAAGGTGGGCAGAGATGTTAGATCTGGGCCAGTCTTCCTCAGCAAAAAGAGGAGGATTGGCAGCAGATGTTAGCTCAGGGCTAATCTTCCTCAAAAAAAAAAACAAAAAAAGGGGATCCTTAGGAGGCACATTCAACACAGTGATTTCTATAGTAAAGTGAACTACATTTTATATAAATTCTTATTTAATTGTCACAATACTTTGAGGGAGATCCTCTAGTCATTCTCCTTTTACAGATGAAGAAACCGAAACATAAAAGAGGTCAATAATTTGTTCAAAGCCATGTGGTTTATCAAGTGGCAAAGTCACAAACTAAATCAAGGCAGTTTGACTCCAGGGCATGTGTGTTTAACACACATATATAGAGTTTTTAATCTCATTTTGGTTTAAATGTGATTATTTATGCATCATAAAGATACATATTTGCATGATAAAAAAAAGTGTGTGTGCATGTGTGCACACACGTGTATATTGATGTCATTATAGATGTCTTCTCTGAATAAGAAGACTGATTTTTTTTCTTCTTGCTTATTTGAATTTGTAATTTGCTATTATAATGGTTGTGTATTTCTCAGGTAACAAAATAAATATGAAATGTTATTTCAACTATTAAATTAAATGGTCATTTAATGATTTATTTAATGACTAAATGAAGACAATGGGTTCTAGTCTCCCGCTATTAATAGTAAAAATAGCTAACTGGTTTGGGGCATTTATTTCAGGAAGAACGCTGTCTCATTTAATCCACACAACTTTCTTACAATGCGGATGTTGTTATTTACTATCCTCCCTCTACCAATGGTGAAAGTGAGACACAGAGAGTTTGCATAATTTGCCCTTGGTCCCATAACTATAGGAGGAAAACTATAATCTGAAGCCAATCTCCAGAGCTGACAACCCTAACAGCCATGGTGGCAGTCTCTCCCATGAACAAGGGTTCTGGCTAGGAGCTGAAGGCACTTGCAGGCAGCGCTTCTCTCTGGATTTGGAGACTGAGAGATGTGGAAGAAATATTGGAGTCAGTCTCAATTCAAGGCTTGACAGTTGGAGTCCTTCTCTCAACTCAGGTCCTAAGTAGGAACATGTAAAACCTTATTGGAGGTCTCTTTAAGAAGAGGCCTCTTACTAACCTTTAGTATTTCGTATGCAAAAGTACATGTTAGTATGCTAGGATGTTTTGTTTAACTTTCACACAATAAAATATAGAGCCCAAGTTTTTAGAAAATATTTCCATAATTTAAATTGCCCTGAATCCCAAGTTACAAATGTTTGCATTTCATCCTGAAACAGAATTTAATGCATGTCTAGGCTAAGTTCTTATATTCGAAGCAGTAATTTTAAATTACCTAAGCACCCAGTAAGAGAACATAAGATTCTAATCAACCCAAGGGAAGAGTTTAAAAGGAATAAATTTTTTATTATCCCAGAAGAGAGAATTATGAATGTTGAGATGTGCGATTTCATATGGATTTTTAAATAAATGAGGACATTAATTAATCTTGAAATTCAAGAGATTACTCATGAGAACTGTTCATCTACTTTTGACAATACGTGTACAAAAGTTTTGATGTTTCTCAATCAACCTGATGCTAACAGATTCTCAGATTCTGCAGATAATATGCTTCTAGGCTATTGTTGGAAGGGTACCATAAATTGTAGGGGCAATGGTGTATGTGGTTACGGAATGAGCATCAATATGTTTTGTTTGTTCGTGTTGCTTGCAGTGATGTTTAACTAAGTAAATATCTCCTGAAGCTAATTGTTAGGAGGTGGCAAAAACCTCTGCAGTGCTGACCAGCTAGTTCTTAAAACAGGATGCAAATATAGCTTGAAACAATTCTTTCCAAGTGAGCGTTTTGTGAATAATCTAATAGATTTTCTCCTAAGAGCAATTTAAAATATTTCAAAGCTTGCTTATTAGGAGAGAATCCCACTTTCTCTTGAAGAACCTTAATTTCATTAAGCTCTTCATTTCATGTTTTTATCCCCCAGTGGGTTACTAGGCTGCGTTCTTTCCCAGTACACAGGGAGAATTGTTCATTTCATCTAGACTTCTTTAGTATTGGACTGCTCTGTGATACATTTCAAGCCCCAACCATACAGGAACGTTAAAAATAATTATATACTGCCTATCACCCCCATAATAGCACTGTCTGCTGGCCCCATTAAATTGTTACTAGGTCTTCCTGTGCCACAGAATCTATCAAGCTCTTTGCTTCCTGCTAGATGGATCTGAAAAGCCAACTGACATTTTTCCCTCTTTTTCGTCTCCCCTCTCTCAATCATCTTTCCTGCATTTAGCTGAGTTCTTAATTCCTTTACTCCTTTAGGAGAAAAAGCAAAATGGCTATCACAGCAAAAAAAAAAAAAAAGTTCTGTCTTGCCTTTTCATCTCTAGGCTGATGGATCAATAAAATATGAAAACAAAAGTGCTCCATCTTCTGGCGAAGGACGAACACTCACCGGCAGATACTCCCTATTGTAAAAGGCTTCTTGGGGACAAGATCCTGAAGACAACTATTAATGAATCCTCCAAAACCATCAAGAATAAACCATCTTTCTCCTAGTCTCCTAGGCTTACAAACTTGAAGTCATTTCCTCCCGAACTTCTTCTCTTATTTCCTTCATTCACACCTACCAACCCAAGTCGGCTGACGGTGCAGGCTTCGGCTTGGCATCAGGCGAAGCTCGCTCCCCTGTCGTCCTCCATGTCCTGGCACAAGTTAGTTCACCTTTCAAATCCCCAGCCCCTTCATCTGTAACACAAATGCAGTAATGGTTTCCACCTTCCACGTTATTGTCAGGACTGAATAAATTAAGATCTGTAAAATACTTAACCCCATATTAGGCGCAGAGCAAGCACCCAATAAATGTGAGCTGCTCTGATTATAATTACTGCCATGACTTTTTAAATTTTTTCTTACCATTTCAATTCAATTCAATCAAATTTTTCAAACCTTACTATGGTCAAGATGCTAAGCACGGTAGTAGGATTTCTTTTTAATGTAGAATCTGCCTTCAACAAATTAATAGTCTGCCAGTGGTGACAAAGAAGTTAAATAACTTTAATACAGGATATGGCAGATGACAGCGAGAGCTATAAAGTGTTCCAAGACAGTGCTTCTCAAACTGTAATGTGCATGGCAATCACTCAGGGATCCTGTTAAAATGCACATTTTAACTCAGTAAGTCTGGGATGGGGCCTGAGATGCTGCATCTACTAAGCACCCAGGTGAGGTTGATGCTGCTGGTCTGAGGGCTGCCCTTTGAGTAGTAAAGTTCTAGGATATTAAAGTATGGTGTAAATAGGGTGTACTTAGCTGGTGTACACCAGCATGTCTGTACTGGTTTCTTAAGGGCTGTATATGTTCTGATTGGCCATTATCCATCGCAAACCTATGATTAAACCTATTAGGCTTCACTCTGTATATAAATATTATAGTGCTCTGGTGGACAGCATGGATCCTACATTTGGTTTGAGAGCAAATGCGTCACAGAGTCAGTGGTGTTTAAGAACAGCCTGGAGAGACCAGCAGGATTGTACTCATTGCCACTTGCTCATCTAGCATACTCCCCCTCTCCTTTCCAAACACCACGGTTACTGTTCATGTGGAATATAAAGCACCTTCTTATGACTCTCCTCTAAGACAGTGTTCCTTTGAATCTTTAAGAACAGACAACTTCTTCGAAAGAATTATGTCTCTACGATTGTTCTCTTGTTCTCACAGCTTCACTGTTGTTGTTTCTGGTTCTGAAATGAAATTAAACAATAAAAAAGTGCAGAGGCATCCTCTGTAGAAGCAGAACCCCGGCCCCTCCCAAGCTAGGCCAGCCCATACGCATGTTCTGGGGGCCGGATACCAACTGTTGAAGTGGATACTAATTTTCAACCAGGAGCTTTCACATAAAAATCTAGACGCCCAGATTGAAAAACTGCGAAATCCAGCTGCCCAGGGCCCGAATTCCCACTTGGAAGCAATCAGCTGGAGCAGCATAGACAGAACACAGTGGGTAGGGCCTGTGCCTTCAAAGTCCCCACACTCCGGGCAAAACTCGTTGTCTCTTTCCATCTGATTGACTTCACTCTCGTACATAACTCAGCCTGTGTGAGCATTTGAGTTTATGATCTTATCTACCTAAAGCCCAGGAGTCAGCTTGATTTGGGAAAAAAACATTCTTTGTCATTAACAATATATAACTCCTCTACATGGTCCTTTTCAGAAAACAAGGTGACTCAGTTTATTCTATGAAAATAAATCTTACTATTTTAATCTAGACCAAATTTAAAGCTAGTATTTTTTAGCTTTCTTGGTTTTCAGTCTTTGTTTTTATTCATTATTTCAGTATTTAGTTCCAGCACTTCTCTTCTTCTCTTTCTTACCGTGGAAGGGAAAGGAAATAGAGTAAGAAGGTGAGAAGAGATAAACCAAGGAATCAATGCCCCATTTCATGAGTAAGACATTTCTAAAGGCTACACTAGCAACTTTATGAACCAGTGGAGAATTCGCATAAAGTAAAGAAATCAGAGAAAAGAGTGTGTGAGTTTTCTCAGCCTAGGTTCTCTACGTCCAGAATTTTATTACCAACTCAGTAAAACCTGGTAAATCACTTTGGTTTTTTTATGCCTCGTTTACGCCTCATGAGAGTTCACAAAATAAAGAGAGAGAGAGAAATAAAGAAAATAGTATTGAGTCATTTTAAAAGCATGTTTAGATTGCTAATAGCAGATATTTTTAAGTTAAGGCCCTATTTACTTATTTACTTATTTATTTGAGATTTTTTTTCCCTTCCATATTTGAAGGTAGTCAAAACTACAAAACTACATTGATACCAGGAAAAAAAGAGACATTAATAGACTTCTTTAAGAAACAAAAATTTTCAACTTATTAAAAAATTTCATAAGTAGATGACTATTCTCTATCATAACTGACAATTTGAAAAACTGAGAGGTTTCTAGAGGAGGACAGGACCACTGCAGGTTTAAGAACTTCTCTAAACATAGCTTCAAGATGAATGTGTGGGGCTCTGCCCGGCTCACTGGCAATAACCACACTCCTCACCTTATCTGAAGGGCAGGGATGGTGAACCTCACCTCCCAAGGTTTTTGTAAAGATCAAGTCGATGGAAGCATCTGTACACTAACAAGTGCCATACAAAAGCACGATGTCATTTGATAAGTGAAATGCTTAGAATAGCGTCTGATACATTGTAAATTCCACCTTATGTCCTGTTTGTTAAAAAAAAATGTTCCCAAGATCCGTGGTACCGCACTCTATTGTGAATTTCTTAGTAATTAGCTCCACAGAATATTTCCCTTCTTATCCCATCCTAATACTTCTGGAAATCGCTGAAATATAGAACAGGGTTGTTCTTGTTAGTACTCTTACCAAAAGATTATCCAAAAAAGATGCTTAATTAATGGGAAATCACATTTAACATTGAATGGTACATAAGATAATTATTGCATTAAGTTAAAGGGGTACCATATAGAAGCTGAAATTTAGTGTGTTATTCAAAATCCCAGTCATTCCTTTGGCTCACTAACCAGGGTGAAAAGAAGGGACCTGTACTAGTGTAGTGTGCCCTGTGATTCCTAGTGTGGTCCCCCTGATGCAGCGACCTGCCTCTCCTCTTCCTCCACCTCTCTCCTTCCAAGCACACCCTCAGCTGTAGGCTTGTCTCCTTGGATTTCTCTGACCTCTGCCCCTGACACACCTCCAGCCTTAGAAGGTTGATCCCTGCCTCCCTTGTCACTTCTTGCTCCCCAGTCAATTGACAAGACACTCTTTCTCCATTTCTCAACACAACTTAGCTCCTACGACACCAACATGTATGGATGATGTTATGAACAAACTGCCAGCTTCCTGTGTGTTACCGATGTCATGGGTACTGCACACTGATTAGGTGCCTATTGTACACAAGGCACTGGTGAATGCAAAGTTAAATAATTTCTTGTCTGTAAGCAGCTTCCAGCATCTAAAGCATTTATGCCACTTTCTCACGTATAAAACTTTTTTTAAGTATGATTATATTCTATAGAAGTGCAAAAGGAAGAGTAATTGCATGCTCCTTGCTGGTCTTCCCCCATCTCTGTCTAGCTCCCAACCCTCCTTTTTTTACCTTATTACCTTACTTCCTCTATTTACCTGACATGTTACATATCTACCTTTTTGGTTATTTATCAGTGGTTATCTCCAACTCCCAAAATGTAAATTCCATGTGAAAAGAGATCTTGTTCTTATTCACAGCTGTGTCCCAGCCCTAGACTGCCACCTGGTACAGAAATGGCCCTCAATAAATATTTGTTGAAAGCAGGTCTTATAGAAGGGACGTTTGAGTTGGGCTTTGACCAAGAAGAAGGGATAAACGAGAAATAAATAAATGAGAAATGAGGGAAAGAATATTCTAGAAGGATGAATCAGCTCCAGTAGAAACACGGAGGTTTCTAAGCGCAGTATAACTAAGATAATAAAACAGCTATAAGATGGAGAAATGAAAGGATATAGCATAATTTAACTATTTTTCGTTAATTTTATGAAAGAAAATTTTTATATAAACAGTATTCTATTTTAGTTATTTCCATGATATTTACGGCAAATCTAAGTGCTTTTAAAGTGATCCAGGTCCCAAATGGATAAACTGCAAAGTAAGGGTGTTTTTGTTAAAATCAGAGAACAGATTGAATCTAGAAAGTAGGAAAGCTGCGAAAGAAAAGGAGAAAGGAAAGGATGAGAAAGATGGGGAGAGGGAAGAAAGCCAGAATGCTCGGATAGTTGTCCTAAGAGCCCTTTTGTTTATTTTGTGTGTTTATTTCCAAGAAACCCATGTTTCCATTCTCGTCTACCCTACTTTAATGACCCCATCTCTCCTTGACTGGCATCCCGGATTTGATTCTTAGAGCTAGCGCTGCGTTAGAGAAAACAGATGGGAGATTTGGGGGAGGCATTTTAGTTTCTGCTAACTTCTTTTACACAGAGAGGCGGTTTTGACATTATATAGCCAGTTTCTATCATCTATAGAAATCTCTTTTTTTTTAATGGAGTGATACAACATGTGACCTTCTGTGTCTGGCTTCTTTTGTTTTTTTAGGAAGATTGGTCCTGAGCTAACATCTGTTGCCAATCTTCCTTTTTCTTTCTTTTTCCTCCCCAAAGCCCCAGTGCACAGTTGTATATTCTAGTTGTAAGTCATTCTAGCCCCTCTATGTAGGATGCCGCCACAGCGTGGCTTGATGAGTGGTGTGTAGGTCCGCACCCAGGATCCAAACTGGCCAACCCCAAGCTGCCAAAGGGAGCATGTGAACTTAACCACTCGGCCACAGGGCCGGCCCCCTAGAAATCTCCTTGAAAGCAAGAAAATTCCAGTATCATCTCCAATGTGAGTTATTAATGGATTTGAAGAACAAAGACCAAACATTTTATTTTGTCTCTCCATTTCCAAACGTCTCCTCTACAATGTGGCAACCTAATGATGATTTTTTTTTAAAGGTGTATAGCTTTTTAAATGGTATTGGTTTAAATGGTTTATATCCAAATTATTCCTCTGGAAATGTATTGGCTTGCAGGGAATGTTTGTCTGACACACTGTTCCTAACTGCCCTGATTAGGCTGCAACCTTCTATCTCTGTCTTCCTTCAAGTCAAAGAGAAGTCTCTCCCCAGCACTACAGCTGACTGCATCAGCTCCGGGATGAATTTCAACACCTGGGATGGAGCCCAGGTGAAGTGGGCTACAGAAGCAATGCTCTCAGACCTTTGTTTTGGTCCAGCTTTCAGCCGCGTCTTCCCAGCCCATTTTCCAGTGTGAAATTTAAAACTCGCTGAATCTCAAATGCCTTTAGGCTTTTGAGGGAGGGGATTATGAGCTACACCACAGCTTTAAGTAGGGAGCTGCGTTGAGGGACAATTTATCCAAGCTCACCAGGTCTTAATTATTGAGAGCGTATAGCAAAGAATTTGAAATTCACAGCCAACTCAAAATGCCCACTTGGCCTCTAAAACTCTAAAACAATATAAGGCCTTGGGGAAGACTGCATTGCTCCCTCGTTGCCTTAGAAAACAGAATAATATGACATTCCAAGAATTTGGAAGTTGAGCTTACCAACCAGCCACTCCTAGCAGATGCCAACCGACAACACTGCCTGCCACCAACTGGCTGATGTGCGTTAGACCAACTCTGAGAACATTTTCAATGCTTAAAAAGAGCCCAAGGGGACCAAACAGAGACTGTGGTAAAAGGGCCCAATGGCTTTTTTTTTTTCCTGTCCGTCATCCTCTTGAAATAAAAATGGATTTTTTTTTATAGTACAAGCTACAGAATAACCACTTCCATTCTTGCAACCCAGCCAGGTCTGCAATGAAAGCAACTACTTCAGAAAAAGGATGAAACAGCAGCACACAAGCCCATGTAGGGGAGAAAGGGTTGGAAGATGAAAACCCTCTTAGCGTAGTCAAAACAAAACCTTGATCAAAGCACACACCTCCCAGTCTTGAAGCACGGAATAAAGACTTTATTGTGGAGAACAAAAGACTCTGGAAGCAAGAATGGAAACAAAGGAATGGCCAAAAGAAAGAGAGAGGGGATGAAACAATGACATTGTCCCAAGACCAGGAACGAAATTCATCCTAGAAATAAAGGGCACAAAAGAAAGACAATTACAAAATAGAAATCGAAAATGGCTGTGACATCTTGGGCCAGGAAGCCAGTATGACAATATTTTCTCATAAAATGATATTCGATTTCATCACCATATGCTTTAGGAAAATCCAATATGTTCCTGACAGACTTCTAACATTTTTTCCCAAGATGGTTAAAGCTTTAGGGAATGTGTCAAAGATACTTAGAACCCATTGCATTTTTGAATATTACACATCAGTAATTCTCTGGTTCATGAATTTTAATAATACGACAGCATTTGGTTTGCCAGTCACTCTCCCTGGCACTAGCTGATAAAACATGTGATGGCAGATCCTGTTTTGGTTTTGCTCCAAAATACTGTTGAATCTGCAAATGGAAATTATGTATGTAGAAAGTGTTTTTAAAGACAAGGTGTGCTAAGACGGGATATGAGCACTATTTGAAGAATTATTTCAAAACACTGGTTGATGATATTTCGAAATACAGCTCATGAGCTATTGTGGAAAAGAATGAACATTAAAGATGTAATCAATCATTCAATCATAGATATACTACTTAAAACTAAGTAACACAAATGAGAATTAAACAGAAGATCAGAATGAGTCATTCCAGTCTAAGCTATTTCTACAGGCTTCTCCCCTCACTCACACTGTATTTGCCTGTCTCTGACCACCTGTGTATTTCTAATGGGCTCGTCTAGTTTCAAGACAAATAATATACTACACCTGGAGAAGTGCCCAGTAAACTATAAGGTGTTATACATACTGAATTAGGTTCTGTACCATTAACAATTACATATTAGTGTAATAGGGAGATAATCTACATTTCCTTTTATCTGGCTTCCCTTCCTTTATCCTTCTATTTCATTTCTGTCAAAGGCTAACTTTATCCTTCCAGCTTCCTGAGCTTCAAGTGTAACTGTTTTTCATTCTTCCTTTTTCTCACCCCGCCCCCTCCAGTTATCGAACTCTTAGTTCTCTATTGTTCATTGACTAACTTGGCCTTTCAACTATTGGTCCTCTTTCTCTTCCTGTGTCCCCAAACCAGACCCTCAGCCTCTCATACCTGGACTGTGCTGAAAATCTCCTAACGGCTTCCGGCTTCCAGTTTGAGTCTTCTCCAGTTCATTCCTTTGTTGACACCTGGTAGGTCTTTCTAAAAATGCGACTTTAATCTCATCACTCCTCTGCTCAAAAACAAAGGCAGCCACTGTTTCCTGGATAAAGAACAAAGTGCCCGTTTTGTAGCCCAGAGCCAAGGTAGGCAGCCCAGACTCTGCAGCTGCGCCTTCCACTGCTCTCCAAACAAGCCCTTTGCTGCAGGTGGATTGTTCCACTCCCACAGTCCGCGCCATTGCCGGCGGCCACCTGCCCTGCCTGCAGCGCCTTCCTCCTCTTCCCCCGACTTGAGTCATCGTTCCCTGTTCGGCCCACAAAGCTTCCTGAGCCACGTTGGCCCACAAGTTCTCTCTGGCTGGACTACTCACTTGGTGCTTGTTCAAGGTCCGTGCGTCGCATGGCTACAGGACTGCCACACCACTGTTGAATCTGCAGACGTGTCTTTTATTTTCCCCAAAGAGATGTAAACTTGGTGAGGGTAGGGAGCTTCAAGTAACGTTTATTAAGCACCTGCTGTGTGCAGAGCCCTGCTTGAGGTATCAAAAAGATAGAGAGGTGCCTTAGGCCGTTTGGGCTGCTATAAAAACTACCACAGGCTGGGTGGCTTATAAACAACAGAAGTTTATTTCTCGTAGTTCTGGAGGCTGGAAGTCAGACACCAGGGGGCTAGCATGGTGGGGTTCTGGTGAAAGACTTCTTCTGGGTTGCAGACTGCAGACTTCTCACTGTGACCTCAGAAAGTGGAAGGTGGCAAGGGATCTCTCCGGAGCCTCTTTTACAAAAGCACTAATCCCACTCATGACCTAATCATCCCCTAAAACCCTCACCTCCAAATGCCATCACTGTGGGAGTTATGATTTCAACACATGAATGAAGGGGGACAGAAACATTCAGACCAGAACAGGAGGGTCATACTTTTTTGGCATTCCACAACAAATATGGTACCCTGCATATCGTAGTTGTTCCATGCATATTTTGATTGAACTGATTTCCATGATTTTTTCTTTTTTTCTTTTTTTTTTTTTGCTGAGGAAGATTACCCTGAGCTAACATCTGTGCCAATATTCCTCTATTTTGTTTGTGGGTTGCCGCCACAGCATGGCTAATGTGTGGTGTAGGTCTGCGCCCAGTATCCAAACCTGTGAACCTGGGCTGCCAAAGCAGAGTGTGCAAAACTAACCACTACACCATGGGGCCGGCCCTCTGATTTCCATAATTTTTGTATTTTGAAATTACAATTTTACAATTAAACTGTCAAAATTAAATCCCATAAATGTCTTTATTTTATAGTAGGGACACCGTGCTAAAGAAAGATGAAATGTCTATTTAACCCAATGCATTGGTAACAAAATTAATGTCTTAATGCACATTTTTGTTTTCTATTCTGCTGCTTCAACTGCCAAGCCCTTCTACATCTCATCAAGGAAAATGTTGTGTCCTGGATTCAACTTTTCTTTCCTGCAGTAATTATTGAAGTGCGTTTCTGCCTGAGGTGCTTTTTGGCTTCAGTCGCCTGTCCAACAAGGCACTGAGTCTGGCACTCTGATCTCTCATTTTTTCATATGATTCTCCCTATTTAGACCCAATTATATGAAGCCCATGTCCTGTGGAACTGGAGTCAAAATCAGATAAATCAAAATAGATGTTTCTTACACCCATATTCGTGTTGCCCTAATTTCTAGCTATACAGATAATTCCTGAGTTTTCCTTATCATTATAGAAATTCCAAAAAATGTATTTGATCACGTGCCTTGGCTAGTTTCCATTAGATAAAAATATGTGTGCCTCCAGGAATATTTTATATTTATCATAAAGAGACTTTGGTGCAAGAGGGATTGATAAAGCACTTGCTTTGTCTTCACACCATGTTATTTGGAGGATGAGAATAAGCCAGAGGATAAATCTTCACACGTGTTTAGTAGAAAGAAGTGACTCAACACTTTGAAAGTCAAATAGCCCAAAGAAAACATGATTAAAAGGTACATATAATATTACCAAAGCTGTGTAAAACAAAAACAATGCACAGGGGAAAAAACCCTAACACTAAGATATTAACAAAGCTTTTTTCTGGGTATAGTCAATCGTTCATTTATTCACTGAACATATACTTTCAGAGAATTTACTAAGTGTCAGGTACTGTGTTAGGCACTGAGTTATGACAATTCTTTTCAGTTCTCCAAAATTTCATAACAGCACCTACAGTCACGAGTTGCTTAACGATGGAGACACATTCTGAGAAATGCGTCATCAGGGGATTTCATCATTGCACAAACATCATAGAGCGTGTTTACACACACCTAGATGCTGCAGCCTGTACGTACCTAGGCTCCATGGTACTAATCTTACAGGACCACCATTGTATATGCACTCCATCCTTGAACACAATGTTATACAGCACACGACTGCATTAATTTTATGATGAAATATAAGCTTTCTAATTATATGTAGTTGTGATGGTTAATTTTATGTATTAACTTGACTGGGTCATAAGATGCCCAGATATTTGGTGACACATTATTATGGATATTTCTGTGGGGGTCCTGGATGAGATTAACATTTGCATCAGTAGACTGGGTAAAGCAGACGGCCTTCCCTAAGGTGGGTGGGCCACACCCCATCATTTGAAGGCCCTTTAACTCTCTCTTGACAACTGCGGGTCATTGATATAAGCCTAAGTCCCTGCAGAGCATATCTTCAGAGCTCACCAAAGCCTTTATTTTTTATTTATATTTTTTTTTGAGGAAGATTAGCCCTGAGCTAACTACTGCCAATCCTCCTCTTTTTGCTGAGGAAGACTGGCCTGAGCTAACATCCATGCTCATCTTCCTCTGCTTTATACGTGGGACACCTACCACAGCATGGCTTTTGCCAAGCGGTGCCATGTCCGCACCTGGGAACCAAACTGGTGTACCCTGGGCCACCGAGAATCAGAATGTGCTCAGTTAACTGCAGCGCCACCAGGCCGGCCCCATCACCAAAGCCTTTAAAGTCGGCTTTGTCTCCAGTTTTAAGTTTTGTGGGTGCTGTTATCATTTCTCTCTACCTTTCCTCACTGCTATCTTTGTACCTCTTTTGGTCAAGCCCTTTTCTAATTTGCATGTTCAAAGTCAGGCTTATCAAGCTTGCTAGAAATGAGTCTGTTGGCTCTAAGTGACAACTAAGGGATTCTCTGATGAGTTCAATTCTAGTACTGCAGTACGCAAGCAAGCAGAACTCAACATCCGTTTTTGCTTCTCAGAAGTAGGGCTACTTACCTCCAAGTTTTGCTGTGCAGGCAATTGAATTGAGGAGATAAATGACTTCCAAACACTGGAAAAATGAGCCATTAATGAAATGTTGGGTAATACATATATGAATATTTATTCCTGGGTATGTATATGTGCAAAAATATACATTGGAATGTATTTCACACATATGAAGCGCTGGTCTTCTTCAACATAAAAGGGAACAAATGTAAAAGTCTGGATTTTATTATTGCTAAATTACTTTTAAAAGAAAATTATATACTAAAATCCTCCAAAAAATTTTCAGTTACATAACTCATTCATACTTATTAAATTCACCATTTGCCTTTTCTCAGATTCAAATTTAAAACAAAAATTTAGTGATTTACTTTTCAAAGGTCAGAACTATTTTAATTGCTTTTTAGAATAAGATGACCTTCGCTTGATCGAGTGGTATTAATTCCATCTCTCTGTGCAACGAATTTAATAACCCTTTTAGCCTGTGGATGCAGAAAGCAGTTCAGAGCTTTTGAAGATTTGTAACCAGAACCCCTTTAAGTCCCGGGGCTGGCCTGATTAGGCTGATGAAAGCTCTCTGAGCACCTCAGCCATTTTGTAGTGAAGTCATTGCCTGATGACCCAGAGCACTAATGTGTCCCTGGCCTACTTCAACACACTTTATACAGGGGTCAAATTGCCGAAAGCTACAAGATTTTTTTTTGTTGTTTTCTTTTGTTTTCCTCTATCAACCATGGAAATTAAAACATTGCTTCAGAGAAAGAAAGTTTTGCCTCTCAGGGCAGATTTCTGTTATCGGTGTTCTGAACTCCTCTTTCCCCCATTGATCCCCCCAATTAGAAATTTCTCCTCTGCCATTCCCACTCTGTCCTATTTCTTCAACATAAATTCTTCCCTTCTTAAAATAAAATGAGTTTAGAGCCACTAGCTTTGGGTCATGTCATAGTGTTAGTGACTGAACTGTGTCTTCCTAAAATTCATGTAGTAAGTCCTAACTCCCAGTACCTTAGAAAAATGGGACTGTGTTTAGAGAGAGGGCCTTGAAAGAGGTAGTTAAGGTAAAATGAGGTCATTTGGGTGGGCTCTAATCCAGTGTGACTGATGTCCATGTAATGGGAGAGAACCACACAGACATGTGAGCGCCCACAGAGGAACAATCCTGTGAGGACACAGCAAGAAGGCGGCCACCTGTGAGCCAAGGAGAGAGGCCTCAGAGGAAACCAGATCTGCGCCATTTTAATCTTGAACTTCTAGCCTCCAGAACAGTGACAAAATAAACCCCTGTTGTTTAACCCACCCAGTCTGTGGCATTTTGTTATGGCTGCCCCAGCAAACTATTACACATAGCTTTGCTACTTGCTAAGTATGTGATTTCTCTATAACGGTGAGGACTCTTCCTACTCTGAAGAATTGTTTGGAGGATTAAGCAAAACATATAAAGTTCCCAATTTCCTTACATATTACATGGCTGAAATATTTCAAAATTTCAAAAATTGAACAGCATTATTACATATTATATTAGTGTGACTCCATGCTCTGTGTGCTATAAAAAACATAAAATTCTTAATTACATCCCATTTCAAAATACTCTTTGACCACAGATTTCTAGAGTTTTGCACATTCTATAATTTAGTTCTTTTCTTTGACAATTAAACCACAGTTGACTGGCTTACGATCAATAAATGTCCAATTAAGGATAACTTGTCCCAGTTTTTGGCATCCTGATGATTTCCATCTTTTTCTAAATTGAGTTAAGTGTAGGAGATCAAATTACTTATCGTTAAAATCAGCACTCTTATACTTCCATTTTTCCATTCTATGCCTTTTTTATAAAATAAGTGCGTAAGTGCAATAAAATTCAAATTATTGCATAAGCCACTGATATAAAGATTAAAATGGAAGCTGCTGTCAGAACTAAACCATCAGCTGAGAGGCAGCTCCACCAGGCTGAAAATATCAATCTGTCGTTCCAGACCCACGGTCCAAATTCAGCCTGGAAAAGATGATTAAAGGGGTCAAATGTATAATAGTCCAAATGCGGTTTGTATGCAAGTAATGACCCTCTGTTGGCTGAGCGTTTTGTTCTCAATAAGCAACAGCTATTATTGTTGTTATTGTCATTTTTATTATAATTTTTGGTGTTATTACGTAAACATATTCTAATTGTGTCGTATGCCTAAATAGATCACAAGGGCCTATAATCTTCCACCAAACATTGATCGCACACTGACTCTGTGCCAGGCAAGGACTAGGTGGTGGTGATCTGAAGATGAGCAGGACTGGGCCCTTTGATCTGCTCCACTCTAAAATGGACAAGTTGCATAAGTGAGCAGATCAGCCCCGCGGCAGCATGACAAATGAGACAACCCAGGCATGTCTGGAATGCTCGACCGTCACACAGCTATCTAGCTCTTGTGGAAAAGAGTCTCAAGAGTAGAATCAGAGGAGGCATCAAGAAGGATCTTAAAACCTGAACAAGGGAGCGGAAGTTGTTTAATACTCCTCTTCCGTCGCAATGTCGGCCCCATAACACACGCTTCAGTGATTCCTTGTTCCGTGGTTGGTTGGCAGATCTGCTTTCCTCTGAGGCCTTGCTTCTTGGCTCACAGATGGCTGCCTTCTTGCTGTGTCCTTACGTGGTCTTTCCTCTGTGTGTGCTCATATGTCTGTGTCGTGCTCTCCCCTTCTTATAAGGACACCAGTCATATTGGATTAGGGCCCATCCATATGACCTCATTTTACTTTAATTACCTCCTTAAAGGCCCTCTCTCCAAATACAGTCCCATTC